TTTAGTTCGTTTTAGTATCTAAACTTTAAATTTTTAAAATATTAGTTTTTATTTTATTTTAGTATCTCTCTGTTAAAAATTTAATGGGTTATTTGCACGTGATACTTTTTTATGGGTAAATTGTATCATTCATCACTCAACTATCTTCTCACTCTTATTTTGGTCACTGAAGTTTAATCTTTTTAATTTAATTACTTAACTTTCAAATTAATCCTAATTTAATCACTCTAACTTTCAATTTTTAATTATATATTAATAAAAAAATAAAAAATTTCATATCACAAACATTATTAATAAAATAAATTAGAGTGATTAAAATAGGAGCAATTTGAAAGTTGAATAGTTAAATTGAACTTTTTTAAACTTTAGTACCAAAATAGGAGTGAGAAAATAGTTGAGTGATGAATAATGTAATTTACCCATAAAAATGCAGTTACGTTAAATTTTTGACAGATAGTATTAAAATAAAATGAAACAAAAACTAAACGCTAGGCATGATTTTAAAAAAATTAAAAAAATTAAAAAAATTAGATACTAAACGGATTAAAACTGATAGTTTAAATATTAAATGCATAATTTACCTCAAATATATTCAACTAATTATTTTATTTATTAAACTTTCAGAAATTATAAAATAATCATTAGATTTATCTAAATTTTATATATTTATTACAATATTGAAGTGGAGATTTGTATCTGACCCAGATATGCTAGATTTTGACTTGATCAAACTGGACTATATAGAATCGGATTTTGTTTTAAAATTTAGGTTCGTGTTAGGTTTTTTAAAGGATAAGATCGAATTGAATTTGAGTTTTTTTGATCTCAAACAGATTTAAAAAATAATAATATAATTGACTTTTATATATTTTAGAATAATTGTTGTAATACAAATGTGTCTATTTTTTTCAATTAGGTTATTTATTATCTTATGTAATAAAAAATGAGAATATATATATTAATATCAGGTTAGGTATGAGTGCGGGTGCGAGCTTTTATCTTGAAAATAAGACCTGATAGAACTTCTCTAACAAATCGAGTGATAGATGAAGGGGTGTTATACTCAAATTTGAAGATGGACCAAAAACTCGATTTAGAACATGATCATCCTTATAGTATCATAATCAATTTATAATATTTCGATAAATTTTATAATTATTTTATAAATTTTAAATAATTTAAATAATGGAAACAACCATCAGAGTACAATTCAATTATTTTAACTAATATTTTAGTTTGAAAGCACAAAGATTTTGTATGCATGCGTGACCATTCATGAGTCGATCATTCATCAATCGTCATGGGACCATTTTGTGTTCGGTCTTTGTCTTAGGTTTTCACTATTTGTAATTGAACTAGATTTCCTTTACCAACGTTTTTCGTCGTTTGGCCGTTACGGTGCTGACGTGGTGATTCACGGTACTAACGTCGCAGTCCATCTGCCATATTTGAGTTACCAATTTAGTTCATATGTCATGTTATCCGTCACGTTATCAATCATCGTGGACTCTCACGTCAGCACTATAACAGTCAACGACGAAAACCATTGGTTAAAGGGCAACATTGAGTTTATTTTTTGAATTAAAGGGTCATATTAAGAGAAAAAATAATATGAGGGTCACATTAATTTTTTAAAAATATACATGGACCTCTGGTGCTTTTCCCCCCTAAATAATACTACATTTGGAAATCTAAATATATATTTACTCTCTTACCCTTTCCCTATCACCCCCAAGCTAAGAATTCAAGCAGTCCGTAGTGGCCCGTTCCAGCCCTATCCAAGTAAATGGGCTATTAAAAACTTATAGAGTAAACTAAGCATTTAGTATCTAAATTATTAATTTTGGTCATTTTTAGTATTTAAATTTTTAATTTTTTTTCTAAAACTATATATAACATTTAATTTTTATTTTATTTTAGTATCATTTCATTAAAAATTTAACACGTTTAGTACCTAAACTATCAGTTTTGATCCATTTTAGTACCTAAACTTTTATTTCCCCCCCCAAAACTTAACGTTAAATTTTGAATGTGATACTAAAATAAAATAAAAACTAAAGTTTTTAACGACGGAGTATTAAAGTGAAACAAAAATTAAAGTTCTTAACGACAGAGTATTAAAGTAAAACATAAACTAAACTTTATGTATGATTTTGAAAAAATTGAAAATTTAGATATTAAAACAAACTAAAACTGATAGTTTAAATACTAAATGCATAATTTATCCAAATTTATATTATTTGGTCAAAATTTAATAAACTTTTATAAAATGGTTCTATGGAGTAGATATGCTCAACTCATTAATGATCCATAATTATGCGTAATCCTTCTTAAATTATTCTAGTACAAATCCGATTACAATTCAATTATTAATATATTTATTTATATTTAATAAATATTTTTTTGTTGGAGTTTCAAGAATAACTTCGGAATAAAATTACATGCACATACGTGTGGTTAAAAAAAATTTAAAAAAAATCAACGCACGAATCAAATGATTTTCACGATAAAGGAATTATCGTCACTCTTTGAGGACTTAGATTTGAACATCATAAATGTTAGGGTGTGAGCGTTCAATGTTATAAGGTTGAGAGTTATCTTTAAACATATATTGTCTTTTACTTACCTCAAATTAATAAAAAAAAAAACAGATATTTCCTCGTGTATGCAGAGAATCTCATACTCAACCATCAAAGTCAAGTGTGTGACCCGATTCAATTCAGATTAATTAAGAAGAAGCTTTGGGAGATTCTAAACATACTAAACTTTTTTTAATTAACCTTAGGGTGATTACAAATGCTATTATATGTAATGGAGATTCTCAACCGTTAGACGATGAACACATAAATATTCTGCACCCGGGACCTCAAGGATAACAATTATCCCTTTAACTACTGAGGTAGTTTGGTTCATGTCGCTCTCAAATTTTTTTAGTTAAATCACTTTTTAAGTTTATATTGACTTTAAATTAGATGAATTAAACTAATCTTTTCCTCCCATAATAACGGGATCCTTTATTGCTGAATGAACATGAATGGAATCTCTTTCTCACCAAACAAATATTCATGGAATAATGTTTTGATCATTGGGGTTTTAGGGATATGTTGAGATTCTTGTTTTCACCAAAGTGGAGACCAAGCTGGTCCAAAACACCTTCTTTCATGGCCAAAATTAATAAAAATAGGTCATCGTCTCCACTAAACTGGAGTGTTAAAGCTAAACAGGGCCCTAGGGGTTATCATCGAATGGACCAACTTGGGATCCTTTCTAATATAAGTACCAAACTTCTTGATTCACCTAATCTCCTTTAACCAAAGCTTCATCATCCTTGTTCTTTCGACAAAATCATGCAAAAACAAACTCATTAAAATCCTCTCTCAACAAAGAGCAAAGCTTTTAGGTTTGAGATTTTCCCCCAACTATAACATCAACCCACCCACCATTTCTTCACCCACTATCTTTCACCTACCAACGAAGAACCCTAATAATCAAATCCCTTTTCGCTAAAACACACACACACACACACAAATGGACTCGTCTGGACGTTCAAAGAGGCATTGTTCATTGAACAAGATCAAGGCTTGGCTTCTATTGCAGTAATGGAGGCTGGATATTTAGGCACCCATTACCAAACCCAGATTCAAAATGGGTTTTTCCCCCCAAAGATCTCTTTGTTATACAAGGAGAACAAGTCATATTGAATTTAGTTTAATTACGACAGCAAGAGCACATCTGTCGATGATCGGAACAAGGGACAGGTAGACCGCCCGAGAAAAGGACTCTCCGAACAGCAGGTAGGATCGTTAGATTAAGGAAAATCAAATGCTGAGATTAACTCCTTATTTTTTTCAGTAAATATCTTCTCATTTTCTAATGTTAATCTGAACTTTTAATTTCTCTCCTTCAATGATTTTAAAAATGTGTAAAATTGAAAGAATTTTACCTTGCTCTTATATTACATTAATATATATATATATATATGATTTAGATTTAATTAAAATTTATAGCCTATAGAAATGATCATCCAGCTCAGTTGGTAGAGCACAAGGCTCTTAACTTTAGAATTATGGGATCGAGTCTCACGGAGGACATTTTATAATTCGGAGGTCTCCTACGGAAGTTACTCTCAATCTGGCGTTGGGCCTACTATCCTATCTCCCTCTTACCCCATTACATATGGGAATAAGAGTCTGTTAATTTTTAAAATTTATAGCCCATAAATAAATACATTTTACCTCATAATAAAATAATATTTTTTGGGTTAGGGTTTAAGATTTAAAGTTTGAGGTTTGGGTTTTATAACTTAAGGTTTAGAGTTTAGGGTTAAAGATTTGAGATTGGGGTGAAAAGATATATTGTTTTACTATAAGTTGAAAGATATTTATTTATAGGTTATAAATTTTAATTAAATCTAAAACATTTATTTATTTAAATCTAATGGTTATAAATTAGTGTAAAACTTAATAGTTTTACCTAGTGTAAGCATATTTTGCCTATATATATATATATATATATATATATATATATATATATATATATATATATATATATATATATTGTAATTACGTTCAATAGGTGTGTGTCGAGTTATAAAATAAGAATCGTCAACTCGAATAACTTAATTTTTTTTTAATTCTACTTGACTTGATCGAATGCTTACCCTATTCTTAGATGCATGTGATTCGTTAAACTTTTGTGACTTCTCATGATCTCTACAAGATGATAGTGTTCAATTTGGAAAGGGTTTTAACAAATTAATAGGAAAGAATTGGGGAAATGGCTAAAATATTTCCTTCTAACTCTTATAAAAACACTCTTTAAAAAATGCACTACTTTGGTGAAAGATCCAACGTCCCATCTCCCTCCACGTGTTGACAAAACTATGGATGTTGATGTTGATGATCATGTGACATACACATGCAGCTATGGAAACACCATCCCCACAGTTGTTTATATCATTGAGGAATCCTCTCTTTCTTCATTTCTCCCACTCTCTCCATTTCTCTAACAAACATAAGAACAAGGCTGAACATGCAAGGAACCGAGAGTGATCTGAACTACAAAGCGACGGAGCTCTGCCTCGGCTTGCCCGGCGGCGGCGGTGAAAACGAAGTGGAAAGTTCTCCAAAGACCACAGGGAAAAGAGGGTTCTTCAAGTCTGTCGAAAATGAAGCTTCATGCAACAAAGATCCTTCAAAACAGCCAGCCAAGTAAGTCAAAACAACCAAACTATCCGTACTTTATTACACGATCATATGTTGTTTTTCTATGCTTTTATATCAGGATTTTCTTAGGGCACAAGTGTTGGGTTGGCCACCAGTTCGATCTTATAGGAAGAACATCATGGCTAACCAGAAGAACAAGAGCGAAGAATGTGAGAAAGCTGCCTTTGTGAAGGTCAGCATGGATGGTGCACCTTATTTGCGTAAGGTGGATCTGAAGATGTACAATAGTTACCAAAAGTTATCTAATGGCTTGGCTAAAATGTTCGGTTTTTTCACCACGGGTACGTTTAAGTTTTTAATATCGTGTCATCGTCGGTACAAAAATTTATATGTTTAGCTCATAGAATATTATTAATTCGTTTATTTATTTTTGTCCGAAACAAGTTGACATGTTCATGGAATATTGGGTTGTGTTTTTTTTAAAGGGAATTATGGATCTCAAGGGATGATAGACTTCATGAATGAGAGCAAGTTGATGAATCTTCTCAACAGTTTTGATTATGTGCCAACCTATGAGGATAAAGATGGCGACTGAGTGCTCGTGGGCGATGTCCCATGGGAGTATGTCTTTATACACACACATACATACATCCATATTCGTGCATGTACATCTTATAGAGTCTCATCTCACCTTGGGGTCTAATATATTTATTTATTTATTACAAGATGTTCGTTGAATCGTGCAAGCGTTTGCGGATAATGAAAGGATAGGAAGCAATGGAGAAATGCAAGAGCTGAGCCTAAACCATTTAAAAATTGCCACTGATGCAAGATTGTTATAATAATGGCAATGACTCGTGTATTCATTCACACCATCTTACACACACCAATTATGTATGAACAATTTTTAGGGGACGACTACCCCACCCGCTCTCCCACTATCTATCACTCACTTGGATCTTATCTTTTTCACTCCTTACAAATAGCGTCATTTGAATCCGAATCACCGGAGAAAAGTTAGTGAGTCCATTCAATAAGTTTTTAACAAGATTGTAGTAAGTTCAGCTCCAACTTGGAAAACTTTCTGCTAGTTTTCGTGGTACGACTGGTACATGTCCATTGAAAAGTATTCCTTGCTCTTAGCACCTCCTCTTTAAGCTTTTCAACCTGTTCTTTAAACCCGTTATTTCGACTCGCAGCCCGGAAAATGAAGAGTGATGCCATTGAATAAGAAATAAGATCAGCTAATCCAGCCGATTGAACATGGAATCAGTACTCTATTTGATTCAGACATTGTTTAAAAGATAATTCGCTCCATTGAATCGGAGATCAAAAGTTTGATCCGAGTAGTACGTGACTAAATTCAAACTCCAGGGTCGGTGCCATATTGTTGGAGAAGAACTTACTTTGATCTGAAAAGACCCAAATCAACGACAGCTCTTTCCCCAAGACAGCAATACAGTACTCACATCGGATGTTAGGTCAATCACCAAGAACCATTTCTCCCTTATAGTACTTTTCTAATGTATGTTAAATGCTTAACAATAATGCTGCATCGATACTAGAACTATATATGCAGTTAGGACTCGAGCAAGATTACAGACATCGAGAACCAACAACAAAGAGCTGAACTCAAAAGTTGAGAAAACTTCTTGAAATAAAAGTAAAGAAATAAATCATACGGAATGCCTAGCGTATATCAGAGCACAGGACAAGTTGAAATAATTGGCAAGGATGAACAAGCAACACTACATGTTTTGATCTAGAGGCAGGAAAAGCATGATTATACTGCTAGGATGGTAGCGAAGACTAAATAGGAAATACCTTCTTATTTACTGAATTTGATTTTGAGGCAGAGAAAAGAACTCCTTGGCGTTACGAGCCACCTCTGCCTCCACTATTGCTTCCAACACACGGTCCGATCCTTTTGCACCTTCTGCCAATGCAAATTACACGATTAACGGGCACCTTTGCGAGCATATGTAATTATCATGAAACAGCAATAAGTACTAAAATATTATGTTTCAAACGATTGTGCATGCTTATCAGGTGACTCTTGAAAGAAGTAAATATCAGCAGGCGTATCAAATAGAAAATGGTTGCAAAAGCAATTAAACATGGACATATTTTTGTTCCGTGGGGTAAATGTATATTTTCCCCACGAAAGGAGTCCAGATGCGGGGCAGATGTCCACACATCCATGTACAAACATGAATGAACCTGAGGTTTTCATCGAGCACACACATCCACGTACAAACATGAATGAACATTTTTACTAAAACATGGTATTTAGCTGCCAGAGAATTTACAAGAGCACATACACTAATGACTGAAGCAAAACATCTAATGATGATTAGGAGAAACCTCACAACCTTTCCGATCTGGAAGGAGTCCAGCACTTTCAGCTGAAACAGGAAGAACAGAGAAATCACCAAATTCATATTTAAGACTTTCCTCTTCTACATTGCTCCTCACTGAACCAGCTTTAAGAGCTGCAGATTCAGCCAATCTTGCATAGGCAGTCGCTTGGCTACGCAAATCAGTTGAATTGTTCACAGTATCAGTCGAATTGTTCTCTTCTTCACTTTGCTTGGGTGGAACTGTAACTACAAAAGAAAAGGTTGGGGAAGGAAGCTAAGAAACGGAAGTCGAACAGGGTAGCAATGCAATGGGAAGCATATGATTAAACTAAGAATAATACCATTACTATCAGAAGCAGGCTCTAGGGGATTTTCCATCAGTCTTCTAGTCATAGGACCGGGATTCACTAGAGATAGGCTCCGTATTTCATGCCGAATCGCATCTAGTTGAGCCATTGTATCTTGAAGCTCTTTATGAACCTAGAAACGCCAGATTAAAGACAACCTCCCTAAATTTGTCACCAACCCCGATCTAAGCATGCTATGAACAATTCATTTTCTATATAATCTATATATAACATACTAGATAGTATACAAAAATCTACTTCCAATGGACATTAAAGCACTTCTAAATTTCTAGGCAGGAAGAACAACAAGAAAATAAAATTTAATTTGGTAATGAGGGTTCTAAATTGCAGTTGCGGTCGTGTTTTCAGTTGCCTTTATCGTGATTGTTGCAATAGCAGGCTATTGCGGGTATCGCCATTGTGAAATAACTGTTTTGGATGACACCTTTACCACTATATAACGGTCACTATTCCGATAGCGGGCTGCTATTTAAATCCCTGGTTCTCTTGAACTTTTGTTATATTGTTCAATGGAAAAAGAAGTACCTGACGAGCTTGAGATTGCTGCATAACATTATCGAATTGGCCCCGAGCTAATTGAACATATCCAATTGATCGACCTGCTAACCTCCCAGCTGCTCTTGCAATTTTAGGCAGATCCTTAGGTCCTACGAACAATAACATTACAGAAAACCCATTTCAGGTTTTGGCTCAGAAAAAAATCTCCTTTTTAAGAGAAATGGAAGTATTCCATCAAATCCCAATTAACCCAAAAACTAAAAGAAATGTAAAAGTAAACACAGTCAAAGTAAGAGCAGAATTACCGACTAGAGCAGCAGTGGCTCCAATCAGAAGGAAGAGCTCTCCATATGAAATTCCAAACATTTCGAGACACTTCAAAGCAAATTGTATTCCTTTCTTTGGCGCGCGTTCTATCAACAACCGAAGAGCAAAAGTGTTCGAAACTGATAGTGCTGTGCTAGTTAGCTTGGGTGTTGAAAGACTTGGTCTCTACTGGGCCGGGTTGGAGTACAAAGCATCTTTCAGAAACTGCAGCCTATGTGTTTGTTCAATTGTCCAAGTGAAGGGCTCAAACTGCAAAATGAACAACTTTTCTCTAGAGGCACAAACGGAGGAAATCTTGAGAGAGGAGTTAAGTTGGGAAAAACCTTGACTATGTATAATTTCATGTGTCATCAATAAATTATATAATGATATATTGTAAAAAGTAAATTAATTAAATATTATAATAATTAACTTAAATATTTAGGAATGTTAATTTGTCAAATGACATTAACGATGAAATGGAATGTTGTTCTCGATTGAGGTATTAGATTTGAGTAATGACGTCGATAAGATGTGTGTTATCAATGATTAAAAGAAATCTAAAATAGTATTTTTTGTTATAATCACTCCAAATTATTAAAAAATATTAATTTTACCATGCTTATATAACAAAGACTTAATACACTTTTAGGTGCTTAAATTATACATTAAATTGACTTTTAGTACTTAAATATTTTTTTGTTAAAAATAGGTCAGTAATATTTTATCCGTTACACTTTTAGGTGTCTACCGTTAAAAAAGCCTTTAATTGATATGTGTCACGTTTTAATTTTTTTTAAATAATATTTTAAATAATATTTTATTTAAAAATAAAAAATATATAAATGTGATACGTGTCACTTAACAATTTTTTTAACGGTCTGCATCTAAAAATGTAACGGATAAAGTATTAGACACCTATCTTTAACCAAAAAAAAATCTTTAAGCACTAAAAATCAATTTGAGGTATAATTTAGGCACCTAAAAGTATATTAAGTCTATAAAAAATAAGTACCTAAAGTATATCATCTTTTCATTTAAGTACCTAAAGTTATATTTTTAGTCAAAATATCAAATACTTTTTTTATCAAAATAATTATCTAAAGTATTCAACTTTTTAATCTAAGTACCTAAAGTATTCTTTAATTAATGTCACGTGTTAACCTTTTTAGAACTTAGATGGAAAAAATTAAATAATTTAAGTACCTATTTTGACATAAAATACTTTAGGTATCTATTTTGACCAAAAAGATAATTTAATATATTTATTTTGACTAAAAAAATATTTTAAGAACTCAAATATACTTTAATTACTTATTTGTGAGATAAGTCAATCAACTACTACAAACATAGATATGAAAAAGTTATATTCAAAATAAGATATGATTGGATCCTATTCATCCTGTTTGCATGGCCAATTATTGTGGGGTAACTAAGAGTTGACAAAAGAGAGTTTTGAGTCAAAGCCTTTGACCAAGGACAAATCTTTTTGTTTGAACACAATTTTCAAACCAAATCAAAGTAATCATGGACTCAAGGTTGGATCTTTCCTATATGAACATTTTTCAAACCCAACTCTGCAGAATTCCCAGTAAAGAAAAATCAAGCCATGGATCAGTTGATGAAGCTACTATTACATGGTGAAAATGAAATCTCATGGTATCAAACACTTCCACCAGTTAGCCTAAGTGCCTTTCAGCCATATTCAATGACACCCAGAGTGGAGACTGCAGGTTGCAACAATGCTGGGAACATGAACAGGAGAATGATCGCGTTCTTGAGGGTGAACGTTCGGGTTTCAACGACCGCAGCCGATGATAAACGGAGGAATCTGAAGCACAAGTTGAATGAGAGACTGAGAAGAGAGAAGGAGAAAAATTGCTACTTTGCCTTGTATTCTATGCTCCCTCCTGGCACAAAGGTACAAGGTATCGATCTTTTACGTAGTCGAAAAACCGACAGAATGTTGAATGAATGTTGGGTTTTCGACGGCATTCAAAAGAGTTGTGTGTTTTTGAGCGTTTTCTTGGTATTTTTTCATGGCAGAATGATAAGAAATCGATAGTTCAGATGGCAAGCATGAGAGTTCAAGAGCTGGAATTGGTGAAGGATTTGGAGAGGAAGAACAAAGAATTGCAGGCAAAGAATGAAGGAAACAAGATCAGAGTGAGGATAGATGATCCAACCTATGGGATTGATTCTCTGATAGAGGCTTTGAAATGCTTGAAGACATTGGATTCTAAACCCAGAATGATCCGATCGAACTTTACAAATCAAGAATTCCTTGCTGTTTTAGATACTGCAACCGAGGTTCGTCCTGTTATTTTTAATGTATATGTAAATATATGCTGTATTAACATCAACGGTCAATATATTTAATAAAACTAGGATAAAGTACATAAATGATCCTAGACTATAGAGTAATATTTTATTAAATCCATTGATTATTAAAAATTACAAAACAATCTCTTGACAACATAGAATTACTTTGTTGAATCTCTCGATTATTAAAAATTAAAAAATAATCTCTCATTTCGTTAAAAATTTAACGATCGTCTGAGTTAAACTTTAACATGATAATTGAGATATGATAATCAATTGAAATTATAAGATCATATTTTATCATATGTTAGTTAGTAAATTCATGTACGTCTCATATTGCCGTCAAAATTTTAACAAAAAAATACAGTCAGACAACCATTTTATAACTTTTAATAGACGAGAGATTCAACAAAACAATTTCATGTAGTCAATAGATCATTTTATAATTTCTAATAATCAAAGGACTCAATAAAACATTATCCTATAACCAATGGATTATTTGTGTACTTTACCCTGAAATTTAATTGATTATTTCATCCATTTTTTTTATAGATGAGAGCTGCAGATATGGAAAATGCAGTAAATAGAGCAATGCAAGAGGCTAGGAGGAAGCCTGGGGCAACTTGGATGGGATGACAATAGTTGAAATAAAATAAGAGACAATATTACTTAAACATCTTTATTATGCTCGAATGTGACCATAAAAGGATGTAAATGCTATGTTACAATGGGACAGTAAAATGTGATTTCAATGTGTTCCAAACTTGTATTAATGGTAAAAGATGGCATTTGCAGCAAGCTTTGAATTCCATTATTGACCTAAAATCGAGTTAGATTCATCTCATCAAAGTCTGCAACTAGACGAACAATCAACAAATTCAAATCCAAACATTGTAAATGAAACAAACTGAGTTGAGAGAATCAATCCACGTTATGCCTCGACATTATGTGATCCAGATTAGTCGGGATACCAGCAATTATAAACAGCTATAGATATATGAAATAAATGGCAATCAAATTACCAAACAGAACATTGACAACAAACTAGAATATTAAACGTCCAAAGCACCAAAGTCTCATTTATCTAAAAGAGCAACCACAAGGGTATAAAATTTTCATTACCAAAAGTGCAACAAAACAAATTTTCATAGTTACCACATACAGAGGATCCAAGCTGGAGGAAAGGTCTTCACTTCAGAGGAATGAACCTCGAAGAGTGAGTGGCACCGATACCGGGTCTACCGTGCTTAACAGGCTTGTATGAAATAGAGAACTCGGCAAGGTAATGACTAATCATTTCAGGCTTTATTTCAACCTGGTTGAATGTCTTACCGTTGTACACGCCGATGATGCTACCGATCATTTCGGGTACAATGATCATGTTTCGGAGATGGGTTCTCACTGGCTCTGGCTTCTCACCCGGTGGAGCCTCCCTTTTCTGGTTAAAGACATCAGAGCAAAGATTGCGATTATAATGGTAAATAGTACAATCCCACGCCAATGAGTTCGATGATATTCTCAAAAGCAGGATTTACAATGAAAATTCAGCAAAAAAAAAAAAGAACAGATGATCTTCATACTAAAAAAACAGCTTAAGGACCTGAAAAACACTAATATCGGACAATTACACTTAACCAACCGACAGTGAATCCGAGAGTCGGAAATTGAACGGACAACAAACTAAGAAAAAAAGTAAAAGGCGTGTGGAATTCAGCACATAATTCAAAACATAATCAATGATTGCAACAAGCATAAACACTAGCCTTAACTTCAATTACTATATCTAAAGACATATGTGATGAAAACTGGAAACGAAAGAGTGAAGATTAGATCAAATTACCGCCTTGCGGAGTTTCTTAATCAAAGCCATGGGCTTTCTCTTGAGACCTCTCTGGAACCTACAATTCCACACAAAAAAACAACAAAATGAAAAAACCCATTTCATATTTCAGAAAAAATAAGAAAAAAATCGTTAGGAAAAATGAATCTGTTTTTTTCGTTTCGTTATTACCTTCTACGAGCACGAGCAGGGAAGAGCTTGACTAGCTCATCGGTGGACATATCGAGGAGAGCATCCAAATCAACACCCCTGAAGCTGAACTTCTTGAATGTTCTCTTTTTGGGCACTCCGGCCGCCGCAACCTCCGTCTCCACATCCGCCTATCAGAATAAACACATTTGCGCATGGTACGATCAACGAAGAAAAAAATAGAAAGAAGAAGGGCGCGGAGGCAACTGACTTACCATGGCCGAAAAGATCGATTTCTGAAGCAGTAAGTTTTAGGGTTTGATTGGAGGAGGTGAAACTAGAGAAAAAGGAAGAATGATAAGTTGTTTATATATAAAGGCTGAAACCCTAAATTAAGTGTAAACTTTCAGTTGGACTGGGCCTTTAACATGGTTTAGTTCAAATTTGGTTAGATTTGTAGCAAAGGTAATAATTTATTCATGGATGAATATGGGTCGGATCAGATTTTTTTATCAAATCGAACTTGATTCGAGTATAACACTTCTCAATACATTATCTTATTTGATTTGAATTTAGGAAAATTGTCTCACTTAAAATCGAACATGATTTTCTAAAAAATCAAAATTTTTAAACTTTGATCATAATTATTTTACATATTTTAAATACTTAAATTTTATAATATACCATGTTTAAAAAATACTTGATCTAAGATTTTTAAATTATATTTTCTCATATTTTTATAAATAATAATAAGTCAACGTTAAAAAAAATTGATAAAAAAAGTCAACAATAGAGGGAGTATAAATTTTGTTCAGGAACTTAATTGAAAAAAAAATATTAATATGAAAATATTATAATATTTATGTTTAAATATATAAAGGAAAATTATACTATTTTTTAGTCTACCAAATCAAATATTTTTCATTTTTAATTCAAATCTAACTCGAATCTGAGTTTTTTTTAATGACCATGTATAAGGTTGGGTTAGGTCAAAATCCAACATATTCAAGCAAATATTCATCCTTAATTTTACTTGGATTTGGACAGTGATGGATCTTGATAATACAATTTAGGACCAAATTAAAATGTAAATAACTATTTAAAAGTAAAACAAAATCATTCTTTAAAGCTTATTATCAGTATGATATACCTTAACTTGAACATACATATTCATCAACACTAATACAAAAATACACAAATACTTAATGCCCCTTCATGCAGGTAAACACTTTCTTTACCCTTTTGTGTCCAAGGCAATACAATTACAAGGATTCTAAGGCCTAAAATGCACCTTGTGCCCTTGATTACACGTACTCTAAAACTCCCTTAATCTATCAAAGTTACTCAATAAACCAATATCCAACAATACCACCAGGAAGATTTTTATGACTCTGCTCCCGGGATACAAAAGCACAGGTCTTTCAGAATCATCTTAAAGTTTCTGACTTTTGGAAATCCAAGCAGCAGAAGCATAAACATTAGAGATCATGCCAAAAATACTTATCAGCAACATGATTCAAACGTCACCAGAAAACAATTAAGCACATTGTAATTTAGACACTGATTACTACAACTCAAAGTGTTTGATAGCTACCTCTAAGCCTAACCCACAGCAGCTTTACCCTTCTTCTGCTCTACCATGTACTCCTGAACCCTCTCAGCTTTCCTCCTCATGCCTTCAATCATCTCCTCCGTAGCCTCGGTTATCTGCTTCGGCAAATGACCCTCCAGGTAATCGAACCAATCCCTCAATGTGATCTTCTTCAAATCCATCTCTACCCTTTCATCACAGCTCTCCTTAACCTCTGTTTTAGAACACTCTACCTTCTCTTCATCTTTTCTTACTTGAATTCCTTCGTTTTGCAATGGATTCAGCTCCTCGACCTTATCCACTTCATCTTTACTTTGAATTTCTTGGTTTTGCAATGGATTCAGCTTCTCCACCTTATACCCTTCATCTTTACTTACTTGAATTTCTTGGTTTTGCAATGGATTCAGCTTCTCCACCTTATACCCTTCACCTTTACTTACTTGAATTTCTTGGTTTTGCAATGGATTCAGCTCCTCCACCTTATACCCTTCGTCTTTTCTTACTTGAATTTCTTGGTTTTGCACTGGAATCAGCGATTCCTCCTTATTCGCCTCATCTACTTCTATCAAAATTGTTTCTTTTTCCCCTAATTTTCCTTCCTGATCGTTCTTTTTCCTCCCCCGAGGGCGGCCTTTCCCTCGTTTTGCCACGGCTTCTTCCTGATTTTCAGTAGCCTTCGGAACATCTAACCTGCATTTCAGGGAATCCGCATTCTTCCTACTCCTAGTAACCCTAAAGTTTTCTTTCTTTTCTACTTCTAAATTCTCTAATTCTTTATTAAAATCATATGTTTCGTTCTTCAAAACCTTACCTCTCCTCGACGGATTCCTCCTCCGTCTCTCCGCTGCCACCGCTACCTCCTCTGCACCACCTCTTCCGCCTTCGATTCTGATCAAGATCGACGTAGTCTCTCCCAGCTTCACCGTATCGCCGTCTTTGAGATCAAATGGAGTATCGGCAGGGAGTAAATCGGAATTAAGAGTCGTGCCGTTAGAGGATCCGAGATCTCGAAGGATCCATTTACCAGATCCGGATTCGATTGTAAGGTGCTTAGAAGAAACGCCGGCGTCTTTGATCGGAAGGTTGTTGCCACGCACCACCCGCCCGATCCGGATGGCGGACCCGGGTTGGTATATGTTGGTTTCGCCTTGTCGTGGACCCTGGACCATCACTAGAGTAATCGGCGGTGGATCCATTCTTCAGACTCCGGTCAGAGAAAGAGTGTTAAGTGAAATCCTTTTGAAAGAATTTGAATTGGTTTAAGGCGGTAGATTTTTTCCCCCTCTCATATTCTATCATCTATCCATTTTATCCGGGTTGGGTGTGCACCGGTTAGGGGTCTTCAAAATTTGGGTTAATCGAATTTTTTTAATTAATCAGTTAATTAACGGTTAATGATTTTTTAAAGTTTAATTATTGGTTAATTCAATTCGAAATCGATTAATTAACCAAATCGTCGAAATTTTTAAATTTATTATTTATATATTAATAACTTTGGGAGTGTTTAAATTTCGATTTTAACTGAAATAATTGATCAAATTAACTGACTTAATCGAACTAGCCGAAAAATATTAAATATTAATATAAAATATGTATTATTTAAAATTTCAGTTAATTCGGTTAACGGTCGATTAACTGAACTTTGTTCGGTTCGATTAATTATTTTCAAAAAAAAATCGGTTAATGAAATTTTGAAAGTTTGGTTCGGTCAGTTATCTAAACCGACCGATTGAACACCCCTATACCTAGTTGAGACAACGGTTTAAGGTGTAACTTAAAGGGTAAAGTACATAAATGGTAACTTTCGTTTGAGTTTTATAAATTTTTCCTCACTGAATTCAGAAACCATAAAATTTGGTCACCTTCGTTTCGTTTTAATTCAGATGTGGTCACTGGAAGTAAACAGTCGTTAAACTTTTAATGGTTTGCTCACGTGGCATAGTAAGTATATAAAACTAAAATTATATCATTTTCATGTATATAATACATGGATTAAGTTTTGGTCACTTTACTTTCATATTTGTATACTTTTGCTCACTAAATTTTAAAAAAAAAACATAAGTTTTTCTTACTTATGTTATAAGTTTATTAAGTTTTGGTCGCTTTGGATGTTGAACGTTGTTAGTTTGATGTTATAGCCTGTTAGTAAAATGATTTAATTTTTATTTTGACCCCTTCACTGTAGAAAAAATACTGATTATATGTCTTTTTGTAAATTCAAATTAATTTAGGGATAACATTTTAGTTTATTTATCTTTAGTAGGTTTTCTTTCCAGCCCCATTGTTATTTATCTTCCCCATGTTTATTCTTCACGCGTCTTTAACCCATTGTTCTATTTGTCATCTTTTAATGACTCATGTTGTATTTCAAGAATAATAAATTATTTATAACTTCTTATAACAAATAATAACAATACAAGTTCAGAGGAAAATGAAAGAGTATACATTTAGAGATAAAATGAATCTGGGTAATCTCAGTTATATAAACTAAAATTCAATTTCCAAATATTAAAATTGTAGAATGTCAAATCCAACAAGAACACAATAAGACAAATCAATGGATCTATATAACACAATAATTAGATATCACTCTTCGTGGTGATTTAAAACTTTGAAAAGATATAGAAAAAGTTAAATGATAATTTTTTTTGTCAACATACTCTACCGAAATTGGGATTTATGGCGTTACTAAATACTCAGATAATAAAAAGACATAAAAAAATAAAAATAATAATAACGAATAAATTAGGCGGAAGCTCAAATTGATTAATAAGGGACTGTCGCTATCTCCACCTGACGTTGTTCTTGTAATATCCCAAACTACGGATTAGTGATTAAATTGTAAAATTTCAGAAATTGGGGGATAAAAGTATAATAGTTGAATAATTCAATGATTTATGTGTAGATATTTCTTGAAAATTGTTAGTATATATAAAGAGAGTCAAAGGGCAAATGAGTTATTTAACAAGGAAAATAATTAAATAATAATTAGTGGGTATTATAATACCCATGTGATGCATGTTTGAAGAGATAAGTTTCTAAACTTATCTTCTTCATCTTCTTCTTTTCTCCAACGTGAGGCTCCAAGGCAAAGGTGAGTTCCTTTGTTAGTTAATTATTTGTTGATTTTATGGTTGAGTTTTGATCATTAGATGACAACTAAGCTTAAGGAAAGCTTAAGTTGTCTTAAAATCAAAAGATGAAGAAGTTATGAAAGATTAAAGAAAATGGGGTTTTAAGTGAATTCTTGAAAAATAGTTGATAAGTAAAAAATTGAAACTAAATTTGACTTGTCATCAACTTAATTAAGAGATATGAAGTGATAAAATTGAATTTAGAGTATCTTGAAAATTTGGTATGATTATTGATTTCCATATGAAAGATGAAATTTTGAGATTAAAGATAAAATAAATTGATATAAATGAGTTTAAGCATGTGTATGTGAGTTAAGGATATGAAAGGGGTTAAAATATAGCACAATTAAATTAGAATGAAGTAATTTACGTTCATAAATGAGAATTTCGGACTAGTGTGCATCGGTACACATTCAACATGTACCGATGCATCAAGGGTAAATTTCCAGAAATTATTCAGTGTGTATCGATGCACACAGGTAGGCATCGATGCATGGAAATTTCGAAGCTATTTTGTGTACCGATGCACCTATAGTGCATCGATACACCCCTAAAGGAAAAATGAAATTTGGTTCATTAAATTAGCCTAAATTATTAATACCAAGTTATAAGGTTTAGGCTTTTGATAATTGTCTCGGAAATTATGTTTATGTAGATTTTGAGCCTAAACAAGTTCCAGAACAATCAAAGAATTAGGATTAAATCAAAGCAAGGCTAAGGTGAGTGCAATTTAAATTGTACTTATGTTATTGTAGGTGTGACATGATTTGTATGAGTATATGATAGTGTGATTGTGAATAGGTAGAAAGGAAACAAGAGATGATATAAGAATCTATTATAAGATATATGATATGAAAATATGATAGTGAGCTACGATAAAAAACTATTAAATATATGAGTTTATAGGTGCTATGTGATTTATATATATGTTTATGTGAAACCATGCAAAGTGATACAAGCTATGTGAACATAAGTGACATGAATTACATGAAAGTAAACTACGTGATTATATGCACATGTGATATGTGATAGAAAAGGAGAAATATAGGATTAAAAGAGAGATTATATGAATAAGTGACATGAATATGTGAATATAAGTAAATAAGACATGATATATGTGCTTACATGAGAACAAGAGAAATAAAATAACTATGTGATAAGAATAATAATCAAGAATAATGAAATGATATGCATATGTGAATATATGAGAATAAAATATGAGAATACATACCAATGTGATGAGTTATGTGAAAGTAAATACATGAAAATAATATATATTTAATGTTATATAAGTGATTAAGTAAAATTGTGAGAGAAGTTATATGGAAGTGATAAATGGACTATATGAAAGTATGTATATGAGTACATGTATAAGTTTAGATATCATTCTACGTGCTATGTGATGTATATATATGAACATATGTGAACAAGAAATGACATATGTACATGAACAAATGAGAAATGATATAAGCCATATGAAATGATTTACGTGATTACATGTAATATGAAATATATGCTTACACATACATGTGGTATGTGACAGAAGAGAAATAACAAGTGATATGAAATGTTATAAATGATAATGCCCATGTTATGTAATATGAGAGCTACTGGTATAGTTGGCATGCCAAGAGTCGAAGAATTATCTATGTCTTTCGGGACATATGAACAATATACCTATGTTCTACGGAATATATGGACAGAATTACCTATGTCTTTCGGGACATATGGACAGTATACTTATGTTCTAAGGAACATATGAATAATTTACCTATGTTCTTCGGGACCTATGGACAGTTGCCGAGGTTCTTTATGACCTCTGGATAGGTCCTTCAGGACATTTATACGAGTTGTGGTGACATCATAGTGGTGCACAACCTCAATGTACTCACAAACCTTAAGTTCTCAAAAGTATACATGGGCTAATACATTATCTTTAAAGATAATAAATAACTTGATATGATACTATGTGTGCTCTGTTGTAAAATGATATGGATGCCCGATAGTGAGTATAGAAAGGTTCAATATATGCTTACATGATATAAATGAATTAGTGATAACAATATGAGTACTGATAAGTATTGTAAATGGTATATGCTTTTATATGATACGATAATATTAATTGTTTATGCATTAATATGAGTATAGTAATATCATATGTTTTCATGCCTCATTAAGTCAACGACTTAACGTGTAATTGTTTTACACGTAGGTTCTGAGAAGAGGAAGATTGATAAAAGTTATGCAAGACAGGTCAATTATCCTTTCCAAAGATCAGATCATAAAAGAAATGTATAGTGTGTATTTTGTAATAAGGATAGTTGTTGGCATGTAAGTAACGGTTTAAATCCGATATATTCTAATCAGTTTGTAAAATCATATGATAGAGTTTTGTAATGTTTTAAATGTGTATATGTAAATGGAATTTTTATACGAATGAAAACTCGGATTTTTATGAATTTATACGTATTTTGCCAAAGTTATTGTAGTAGTAATGTAGCAGTGCATCGATACACAATTGATATTCGAAATTTTTCACTGTTCACAGTACTGTTTATACGGTATTGTCCACTGTTCATACTATATTTTACTGTTCATAAAAACGTATATTTTCTTAAATTGGTTATAACAAACATGATTCAACAATATATTATCGTATTTTCTTAAAAAGAGTTCAAATGTTATATTATTTTGCAAGAATAAAGGTTTTAAAATGTCAATGTGACATCTCAGACTTATATTCAGGTCGGATACAGGTTGGTGTGTTACAATTAATGGTATTAGAGCTACGGTTTAGCCGATTCTAGGCTAAAAACGAAGTCAAAAGTGTTTTAAAAAGTATACATGCCAACACAAAGTAGAAAATTTTCTGATCTGATATGGTAAGGAATGTGTTGTCTTGTTAATAGAGTTAAATTGTTATATTATATAAGATAAGTGAATACATGAGAATGATTTATGATATATATATTTATATGATATGATATATGATATGTGAACATATGTTATATAATATGAATTGGATGATCATATGCACATATGATATGTGATAGAAGAAATGATATGAGCACATGAATATATAAAAGTTTCCA